AATGTCTACCTTCTTTATTCTGAACCTTATTTTGAAATTGGCATCTTTTTTAGTTTGCGTGAAATTGGCCAAATTGCCAATTTCTGACCACCATATTGGGTAGTCCAAATTAGTAAATGGGAGGTTTCTTGTACTCAGCTGATAGATAAAATGGAGTTCTAAAGAAATAGCTATGAGTTTGGTCAACTGGAACAATGGAATTGGCTGAAAATAGGGATCAAAGTCGGTGAAATCGCTGATACGCATATGTCACCGAGACCGCTAACTTCGCGGGAGCATAATTCCATGAGTTTTCGAACTTTTGGTGTCATTACCATTGGGAAAAGATTCTCTATCATTTCATAAGAATTTTTTTTTTTTTTTTTTTAAATTGAGCGACAGAATGACAGTTTCAGAAAGGGGCCTGAAACAGTCAAAGGGTTAAGCAAGCATTACGATGACCTCATAGCATTACTAAATTCCTTGCATGCCAATATGTCCATCATTACACTAACTGAAACCTGGCTAAAGCCTGATGCTACAGATGTCTATGCCATTCCTGGTTACACAGCCATACACAACTGTAGGACAGATCAACAAGGGGGGTGGCACAGCTATATACTACTCAGACCAACTAGAATGTATCACTAATACTTGCACAAGGGATGAACATGGGGAATATATAATAGCTAAATTCAAATCCAAATACCTACAAAAACCTCTCACATTGATAAACATCTACAGAGTTCCACAGTCAAACATTAGCCAATTTAGTCAAAACCTAGGAAGTATGATAACTGATTGCGCGCATGAACAAAGATCACTTAATACTCTCAGGTGACTTCAATATAAATCTCCTGCAAGACCAGGACCCACACGTTACTGAATTCACAAACACAATGAGTAACTGTATGTTGCTACCAACAGTAACAAAACCTACAAGAGTTACAGAGACTAGTGTTTCCCTACTTGACCACATCTGAACCAACACCATATCCCCTTTAAAATCAGGCATAATTACAGATAATACCACAGACCACTACCCTACTTTCCTCATAACAACTCTTGGTAAATTACCCCAAGACACTACTAAAGTCACCTTCAAACTTCACAATGAGGCAGCCATTAATAACTTCACAACAGCAGTAACAAACATCAACTGGCACACTGTGCTAGAAATCTATACAGATATTGACGAATGTTTTAATAATTTTCTAAAAAAGACCCAATACCTCTATAACAAGCACTGCCCTAAAAAAACTAAACAGATGACAGCTAAGAGACTGAACAGTCCCTGGCTAACACCCAGCATTCTCAAATCCATAAATACAAAACACCGATATGAAAAACAGTACAGAATGGGTCACATAACCAGAGACCAAACAAAACGTTACTCGTCAATCCTAACCAGCCTGATAAGAAGGGCAAAAAAATTATATTATGAGAACAGATTATCCAACTTACGAGGTGATATAAAAAAGACCTGGAAAATCCTATCTGAAATTCTGGGAACAAAAAAGATATCACAAAATAGCGAAATAAAATTAGCAAAATCAGATGAACCCCAACTCCCACCAACAGAAACAGCAAACAGACTCAATGATTTCTTCTCCACAATAGGACAAAACCTTGCCAATAAAATCCCAAGCTCAGATACCCCACCAAATGACTACCTCACTGGCAACTACCCGAACACACTGTTCCTAGCTCCGACTAACCCATACGAAGTCTCCCTTATTATCAACGCACTAAAAAACAAGGCAGGAGATTTAAATACCTTGCCACCCTTTATATACAAAAAAGTGTCACAAGTGCTATCACCAATCATTGCAACACTAACAAATCCATTGAATCCTCCACCTTCCCTACATTTTTCTCAAATAGAAAGGGGTCACCCTGATCCATAAAGGAGGAAACCAAACAGAGTTGAATAACTATAGGCCAATATCCAATTTACACCCTCTCTCAAAAATTTTCAAAAAATTAATTCAAAAAACGAATCTACTCCTACCTCATCTCCCAAAACATACTCAACCCCTGCCAGTTTGGATTCAGGCCTAATAAAAATACTAATGATGCTATTATACATATGCTAGAACATATATTACACTGCAACAGAGAAAAAAGAAGTCCCACGGGGGGGATCTTCATTGACTTGCGTAAAGTTTTTGAAAACAGTTGACCATGACTTTCTCCACGTAAAATTGTCACACTATGGTATTAGAGGGCACTCCTCAACTACCTAAAGTCATACCTCAGCAACAGAAGCCAATATGTGTACGCAAAGGGGGCAAGCTCTTCCGCACAACCAATTTACAGTTGGTGTCCCACATGGAATGTCCTTGGCCCTCTTTCTCTTTCTCCTATACATAAATGACCTACCAAATGTTTCACAGTTACTCAAACCCCACACTATTTGCAGATGACACTACATACGTCTTCTCTCACCCGAGCCCAGTCACGCTAGCCAATACTGTAAATACCGAATTACAGAAAATATCTACCTGATGAGGACTAACAAACTTACACTAAACATTGACAAAACCTACTTCATTCAGTTTGGGAACAGACTACAGATGTCCCTCTTAACATAATGATAAACGGATCACCTATCACAAAGCTAACAAGGGAAAAACTTAGGATCCACCTTGATATAGACTCAAATTTCATTTCACATATACAAAAAAATTTCTAAGAAAATTTCCCAAAACTGTAGGCATACTATCGAAGATACGGAACTATGCTCCACAGTCAGCCCCCTGGCCCTATATCACTCTCTTATTTACCCCTATCTCACCTTTTGGAATTTGTGCATGGGGCTCAACAACAATTAACCATCTCAGACCACTAATTACCCAACAAAAGGGTGCAGTTAGAATGATAACAAATTCCTCACTACAGGCAGCACACTCCACCAAATATTCCAAACACTCAACCTACTCACCATACAAAACAAACCATACTTATTATTGCACTTATTACATACATAGAACACTTAACTCTGATATTAACCCTCCCCTCAAACATCTTGCCAACCTTAACAGAACACATGACCATAACACAAGGCACAGATCACTCTTTGATGTTCCTCGTGTCCATCTCACACTATGCAAAAACTCAATGCCATAAAAGGCCCTAAAATCTGGAATTCATTACCTGAAAATATAAAAGAAACATACCTGTTTATAAATTAAAGTCTCTTCTCAAAGATCACTTACTACCCAAAAAACCAAATAAATACTGAATAACTGAACCTTATAAATTTGTATATCTTAAATTTTTCCCTCACAATTATATCAATAAATGTTAAATCTAAAACCCAATCTAACAGAATACCCATTCGACTGAATGTACAGCATGCATGAAAACCATATGACCTGTCTTTGTAATACTCATTTGTGCTTTATAGTTATCTGTTTACAATGATGTTTTATCACTGATTTCATCATTGCTTAGTTAATCTTAAGTTAATTTTAAGCCAGCCCGTAATGCTATGCATATAAGTGGCTTTGACATGCTGCTCTTACCTGTATTTTTTTGTACCTCTGTATGTATGCTCAAATTACTAAATATATAAATAAATGGAGATTTATTTTTTTTTTTTTCTTTCCAACAAGTCGGCCGTTTCCCACCAAGGCAGGGTGACCCAAAAAGAAAGAAAATCCCCAAAAAGAAAATATTTCATCATCATTCAACACTTTCACCTCACTCACAAAATAAACACTGTTTTGCAGAGGTGCTCAAAATACAACAGTTTAGAAGTTATACGTATAAAAATACACAATATATCCCTCCAAACTGCCAATATCCCAAAACCCTCCATTAGATTGCAGGCATTGTACTTCCCATTCCAGGACTCAAGTCCGATTATATAAAATAACCGGTTTTCCCCGAATCCCTTCACTAAATATTACCCTGCTCACACTCCAACAGCTCGTCAGGTTCCAAATACCATTTGTCTCCATTCACTCCTATCTAAAATGCTCACGCACGCGTGCTGGAAGTCCAGACCCCTTGCCCACAACACCTCTTTTACCCCCTCCAACCTTTTCGAGGACGACCTCTACCCCGCCTTCCTTCCCCTAAGAATTTATATGCTCTCCATGTCATTCTACTTTGATCCATTCTCTCTAAATGACCAAACCACCTCAACAAACCCTCTTCAGCCCTCTGACTAATACTTTTATTAACTCCACACCTTCTCCTAATTTCCACACTCCGAATCTTCTGCATAATATTTACACCACACATTGTCCTTAGACAGAATATCTCCACTGCCTCCTCGCTGCAGGATTTACAACCCAGGCTTCACACCCATATAAGAGTGTTGGTACTACTATACTTTCATACATTCCCGTCTTTGCCTCCATAGATAATATTTTTTGCCTCCACATATACCTCAATGCACCACTCACCTTTTTTCCTTCATCAGTTCTATGATTAACCTCATCCTTCATAAATCCATCCGCTGACACGTCAACTCCCAAATATCTGAAAATATTCACTTCTTCCATACTCCTCCTCCCCAATTTGATATCTAATTTTTCTATATCTAAATCATTTGATACTCTCATCACTTTACTCTTTTCTATGTTCACTTTCAACTTTCTACCTTTACACACACTCCCAAATTTGTCCACTAACCTTTGCAATTTTTTTTTAGAATCTCCCATAAGCACAGTATCATCAGCAAAAAGTAACTGTGTCACTTCCCATTTTGTTTTTCCCCATAATTTAATCCCACCCCTCTCATCTATAAATATATTAAACAACCATGGTGACATTACACATCCCTGTCTAAGACCTACTTTTACTGGGAAATAGTCTCCCTCTCTTCTACACACCCTAACCTGAGCCTCACTATCCTCATAAAAACTCTTTACAGCATTTAGTAACTTACCACCTATTCCATATACTTGCAACATCTGCCACATTGCTTCCCTATCCACTCTAAAAAAAAAAAAAAATGTATTATGCTTACTAATTCAGAACTTTGTTTAAGATCATTCTTTTCCTCACAGGTCAGATCTACCAAAAGCACTTCATCACAGTTATAGATTCCTTTCAAGATTCTGTCAAGTGTCTGAGTGAGTTCGCTTGTAATGCAGGATTTCCTGATACCAGCATGGAAGCAATATCACTTATTAGAGATTGTGCCAAGTATGTTGATGAGAAACCGCAGGTAAGGCTCTAAACACTAGTATGTATGTGTGTGCAATATTATCGTGATAAACAGGTGATAACACAGCATGCAAAATATTCACTGTTAGAAAATAATGAATTTCCAAGCGCTTTTGTGATTTCTCACTTTATCAAGAACCCAAACCTCTCCTTTAACCCTTTCAGGGTCGATAGGCCCTCTCCTAAACTCGTTCTCAGTGTCAAAAATTTTTCAGACAAAAAAATTATTTCTTCTTATGAAATGATAGAGAATCGTTTCCCAATCATAATGACACTAAAAATATGAAATTTGATGGAAAATTTGCAGAATTATGCTCTTGCGAAGTTAGCGGTCTTGACGATGTTTATGCATCAGCGATTTTGCCCACTTGAGCCCTATTTTTGGCCAATTCCTGTGTACTAGTTGACAAAAATCATATTTATTTCGCTAGAACTCCATTTTTTCTATCGAATGAGTACAAGAAACCACCCATTTACCAATTTCAACTATCCAATAAAGTGGTTAGAAATTAGCATTTTTGCCAATTTCACACAAATTTCAGAAGATGCCTATTTCCAAATAGGGTCCAGAATAAACAAGACAGACATTCCTGGCACTAAAATAACAAATTCTCTGTTCATTAGTCACGTCCCCAGGCCCCTCTTACATTTCTTTTGCTTTCCACTTCGAATTTTTATTCTCACAAAAAATAGAAGATTTACTGTTATGCAGACTACTGCATTAGTGTGGAAATGGTATAAATAATATCAGTGCACTTGTGAAAGAATATTAGACTCAGCAGTTGATGTGTATTGGACGCTTGGCATGATTTGTTTACTTTTGAACTTTGGTAAAAATCGAACATTTCTGTTACTTTGAGCTCAATTTCAAGGTACTTTTCATTGTGTAACCAATCAAAATCATTTCAATTTCTGTAATATGTCTTCCATTCTATAAAATGAGACCAGGAAATCTAGAATACAACTATAAATACCATACGAAAATACAGTGCAAAGTCGCTGTTTTAATCCAAAAACACCGTCAATTTTTTTTTTTCTCATTATGCACTGTGTGCTGCAGGATTTTTTTAATACTGCACACACTGACCACATAGACCCATTCTTTCATATGTAGGCCTACCAGCTTTCTCCAGCTAGATTTGAAGGCGCTAGAATTTAGGCGTTCTAGTACGTCAATAACCCTGGTGTGTAAGCCGTACTAGTACGTCAGAAACCCTGAAAGGGTTAAAGTGCAGGCATTGTGTTTCTAACCTCCAGGACTGAAGTCTGGCTAACCGGTTTCCCTAATTTATTTATTTTTTTTTTCAACAAGTCGGCCGTCTCCCACCGAGGCAGGATGACCCAAAGAGAAAGATAATCCCCAAAAAGAAAATACTTTCATCATCATTCAACACTTTCACCTCACTCACACACAATCACTGTTTTTGCAGAGGTGCCCAGAACACAACAGTTTAGAAGTATTCTTTTCTTTCAACACACTGGTTGTATCCCACCAAGGCAGGGTGGCCCAAAGAGAAAAATGAAAGTTTCTCTCTTAAATTTAGTAATTTATGCGGGAGAAGGGGTTACTAGCCCCTTGCTCCCGGCATTTTAGTCGCCTCTTACAACACGCATGGCTTACGGAGGAAGAATTCTGTTCCACTTCCCCATGGAGATAAGAGGAAATAAACAAGAACAAGAACTAGAAAGAAAATAGAAGAATACCCAGAGGGGTGTGGATGAGCAAGGAGGTTTTAGAGTGGGTAGGTTTATGGGTAGGTTTTAGAGTGGGATGTGTTGATCAAGTGTTTACATTGAAGCTTATATGTGAGCAGTATTTAGACAAAGGTCGGGAAGTTTTTATTGCATTTATGGATTTAGAAAAGGCATATGATAGAGTGGATAGGGGAGCAATGTGGCAGATGTTGCAAGTGTATGGAATAGGTGGTAAGTTACTAAATGCTGTAAAGAGTTTTTATGAAGATAGTGAGGCTCAGGTTAGGGTGTGTAGAAGAGAGGGAGAATACTTCCCGGTAAAAGTAGGTCTTAGACAGGGATGTGTAATGTCACCATGGTTGTTTAATATATTTATAGATAGGGTTGTAAAAGAAGTAAATGCTAGGGTGTTTGGGAGAGGGGTGGGATTAAATTATGGGGAAAAACAAAATGGGAAGTGACACAGTTACTTTTTGCTGATGATACTGTGCTTATGGGAGATTCTAAAGAAATAACAAAAAGGCACAATACCGTGACTGGAACGATACACAAATAACCCGCACATAAAAGACAGAAGCTTACGACGACGTTTCGGTCCGACTTGGACCATTGACAAAGTCACACTGAGAAAAATTGCAAAGGTTAGTGGACGAATTTGGGAATGTGTGTAAAGGTAGAAAGTTGAAAGTGAACATAGAAAAGAGTAAGGTGATGAGAGTATCAAATGATTTAGATAAAGAAAAATTGGGGAGGAGGAGTATGGAAGAAGTGAATGTTTTTAGATATTTGGGAGTTGACGTGTCAGCAGATGGATTTATGAAGAATGAGGTTAATCATAGAATTGATGAGGAAAAAAGGTGAGTGGTGCATTGAGGTATATGTGGAGGCAAAAAATGTTATCTATGGAGGCAAAGAAGGGGATGTATGAAAGTATAGTAGTACCAACACTCTTATATGGGTGTGAAGCTTGGGTTGTAAATGCTGCAGCAAGGAGGCAGTTGGAGGCAGTGGAGATGTCCTGTCTAAGAGCAGTGTGTGGTGTAAATATTATGCAGAAAATTCAGAGTGTGGTAATTAGGAAAAGGTGTGGAGTTAATAAAAATATTAGTCAGAGGGCTGAAGAGGGTTTGTTGAGGTGGTTTGGTCATTTAGAGAGAATGGATCAAAGTAGAATGACACGGAGAGTGTATTAATCTGTAGGGGAAGGAAGGCGGGGTAGGGGTCATCCTCGAAAAGGTTGGACGGAGGGGGTAAAGGAGGTGTTGTGGGCAAGGGGTTTGGATTTCCAGCAAGCGTGTGTGAGCGTGTTAGATAGGAGTGAAAAGAGACAAATGGTATTTGGGACCTGACAATCAGTTGGAATGTGAGCAGGGTAATATTTAGTGAAGGGATTCAGGGAAACCGGCTATTTTATATAACCGGACTTGAGTCCTGGAAATGGGAAGTACAATGCCTGCACTCTAAAGGAGGGGTTTGGGATATTGGCAGTTTGGAGAGATATATTGTGTATTTTTATACGTATATACTTCTAAACTGTTGTATTCTGGGCACCTCTACAAAAACAGTGATTATGTGTGAGTGAGGTGAAAGTGTTGATTGATGATGAAAGTATTTTCTTTTTGGGGATTTTCTTTCTCTTTGGGTCACCCTGCCTTGGTGGGAGACAGCTGACTTGTTGAAAAAAAAAATTACAATTTATAATAGTTCTTGTCATTTCATAACCAATCTTTGTTCTGACACTAGTATTAGGTACTGAAATTGTACTCAAATTGTCACAAACACACTGACAGGTGGACATTTACACCTGCCTTGGTCATTTACTATTGTCTTGGAGTATATACAAAGTATGTATATGTCCCAGCAATGTTTTGGACATGTGGGAGTATAGGAGGAGGAAGAGGAGGAGGAGAAGAAGAAGAAGGAGAAGGAGAAGAAGGAGAAGGAGAAAAAGGAGAAGAAGAAAAAGGAGAAGAAGAAAAAGGAGAAGAAGAAAAAGGAGAAGAAGAAAAAGGAGAAGAAAAAGGAGAAGAAGAAGGAGAAGAAGAAGAAGAAGGAGAAGGAGAAGAAGAAGGAGAAGGAGGAGAAGAAGGAGAAGGAGGAGAAGATAAGGGAAGAAGAAAAAGAAGAAGGAGAAGAGGGAGAAGAAGAAGGAGAAGGAGAAGGAAGAGAAGGAGGAGGAGAATGAGAAAAAGAAGAAGGGGAAGAAGAAGAAATAATAATAATAATAATAATAATAAGTTCCCTTGAAGCATTTAAAACAAGCCTTAGTTCACCCCTGACAGTGAAGTGATAAGATGAGATAACATTAGATAAGAAGTGACATTTGATGAGCATCAGCCCTCACCTTGTTTTTGCTGGTACACAAACGTGTCTGTCTGTCTATTTGTCTGTCAAGCTCCCTGTCTATCTGTCTATCCATCTAGCTCTCTGTCTCAGAGAGGGCCACAAGACTGCATCATCACATTTACTCGTATCTTCAAGCAGAGTATAGCACTTTGTCTGGATTTTTTGGGTTATCCCAGGTAATTTACACTATACTTGTATTTATGTGTACCTGTGAGAATGAGATAGAGACAGATAGAAAGAGATAGAGACAGATGGACAAAGACAGACAGACAGGGATAGACATAGATACAGACAGACAAACAGAGATAGAGCCAGGCTGCCAGCCAGCCAGCCAGCCTGCTGAACAAGTATTACGTTCTAGAATTGTTTCTCTTTACTTAGAACATAAGAAAGAAGGAACACTGCAGCAGGCCTACTGACCCATACAAAGCAGGTCCATTCCCCCCTCCAGATTAGCCCAATGACCCACCTAGTCAGGTCACTTCCACTTCAGAAAGGAGCACGGCATCAAACCTAGTAGCACAAAGTAGTCAGGTGCACCTCAGGCCCACCCACACCCACTCATGTACATGTATTTATCTAACCTATTTTTAAAACTACACAACATTTTAGCCTCTATGAATGTACTCGTAAGTTTGTTCCACTCATCCACAACTCTATTACCAAACCAGTGCTTTCCTATATCCTTCCTGAATCTGAATTTTTCCAACTTGAAACCATTGCTGCAAGTTCTGTCTTGGCTGGAAAATTTCAGCACGCTTATTACATCCCCTTTATTTATTCCTGTTTTCCATTTATGCACCTCGATCATATCCCCCCTAATTCTACGCCTTTCGAGAGAGTGCAGATTCAGGGCCCTCAGTCTATCCTCATAGGGAAGATTTCTGATACATGGGATCAACTTTGTCATCCTCCTCTGTACATTTTCCAGTGCATTTATATCCATTCTGTAATACGGTGACCAGAACTGTGCAGCATAATCTAAATGAGGCCTAACCAAGTACAGTGGACCCCCGCATAACGATGGCATCGCATAGCGATTTTTCCGCATAACGATTACTTTTATCGCAAAATTTTTGCCGCGCATACCGATTAAAAACCCGCATACCGATTTTCGTCCGAGACGCGTCCAATGTGCCCTCAGCCAGCCTCACATGTGCCGCTCCGTCCCATTGTTTACCAGCCAGCCTCCGCGGTAACATCCAAGCATACACTCGGAATATTTCGTATTATTACAGTATTTTCGGTGCTGTTTCTGGAAAATAAGTGACCATGGGCCCCAAGAAAGCTTCTAGTGCCAACCCTACACCTCAAAGGGTAAGAATTACTATAGAGATGAAGAAAGAGTAATTGATAAGTATGAAAGTGGAGTGCGTATAGCCGACCTAGTCAAGCTGTACAAAAACCCCAATCAACCATCGCTACTATTGTGGCACCAGAAAGACAATCAAGGAAGCTGTTCTTGCCAAAGGTTCAACTGTGTTTTCGAAACAAAGATCGCAGTTGATGGAAGATGTTGAGAGACTCTTATTGGTGTGGATAAATGAAAAACAGATAGCAGGAGATAGCGTCTCTCAAGCGATCATATGTGAAAAGGCTAGGAAGTTGCATGAGGATTTAATTAAAAAAATGCCTGCAACTAGTGATGATGTGAGTGAATTTAAGGCCAGCAAAGGTTGGTTTGAGAGATTTAAGAAGCGTAGTGGCATCCATAGTGTGATAAGGCATGGTGAGGCTGCCAGTTCGGACCACAAAAGCGGCTGAAAAATATGTGCAGGAATTCAAGGAGTACATAGAAACTGAAGGACTGAAACCTGAACAAGTGTTTAATTGTGATGAAACAGGCCTGTTCTGGAAGAAAATGCCAAGCAGGACCTACATTACTCAGGAGGAAAAGGCACTCCCAGGACATAAGCCTATGAAAGACAGGCTTACTTTGTTGATGTGTGCCAATGCTACTGGTGATTGCAAAGTGAAGCCTTTATTAGTGTATCACTCTGAAACTCCCAGAGCGTTCAGGCAAAAGAATGTCCTCAAGGATAATTTGTGTGTGCTGTGGAGGGCAAACAGTAAGGCATGGGTCACTAGGGAATTTTTCTATAACTGGTTACACCATGCATTTGCCCCCAATGTGAAAAATTACCTAACTGAAAAGAAATTAGAACTTAAGTGCCTCCTGGTGTTAGACAATGCCCCTGGTCATCCTACAGACGTGGCAGAGCGACTTTATGGGACATGAGCTTCATTAAGGTGAAGTTTTTGCCTCCTAATACCACTCCTCTCCTGCAGCCCATGGACCAGCAGGTTATTTCCAACTTCAAGAAACTGTACACAAAAGCTCTGTTTGAAAGGTGCTTTGTAATGACCTCAGAAACTCAACTGACTCTAAGAGAGTTTTGGAGAGATCACTTTAATATCCTCAATTGTGTAAACCTTATAGGTAAGGCTTGGGAGGAAGTGACAAAGAGGACCTTGAACTCTGCTTGGAAGAAACTGTGGCCAGAATGTGTAGACAAAAGGGATTTTGAAGGGTTTGAGGCTAACCCTGAGAATCCTGTGCCAGTTGAGGAATCCATTGTGGCATTGGGAAAGTCCTTGGGGTTGGAGGTTAGTGGGGAGGATGTGGAAGAGTTTGGTGGAGGAGGACAATGAAGAACTAACCACTGATGAGCTGCTAGATCAACTTCACAGCAAGAGGCCACACCTGAGGAAATTGCTTCGGAGGAGGGGAGAGAGAAATTGAAGAAGTTGCCTACTTCAAAGATTAAGGAAATCTGTGCAAAGTGGCTTGAAGTGCAAACCTTCATGGATGAAAATCACCCTCACACAGCTATTGCAAGCCGTGCTGGTGATTATTACACTGACAATGTTGTGAAAACACTTTAGGCAAGTCCATAAAGGAACGAGAGGTACAGGCCACTATGGACAGATATCTTGTGCGAAAGAAGTCCAGTGACTCTGAAGCTGGCCCTAGTGGCATTAAAAGAAGAAGGGAAGTAACCCCAGAAAAGGACTTACTACCTCAAGTCCTAATGGAAGGGGATTCCCCTTCTAAACACTAACACACTCTCTCCCCTCCTCCCATCCCATCAATCATCACCAGATCTTCAATAAAAGTAAGTGTCATTTAATTGTGCATGCCTTTTTCAGTTTGTGTGTATTAAAATTAACATTTCATGTGGTAAAAAAAATTTTTTTTCATACTTTTGGGCGTCTTGCACGGATTAATTTTATTTCCATTATTTCTTATGGGGAAAATTCATTCGCATAACGATTATTTCGCATAACGATGAGCCCTCTTGCACGGATTAAAATCGTTAACCGGGGGTCCACTGTATATATAGAGCTGAAGAACAACCTGAGGACTTCTGTTATTTGTACTTCTAGATATGAAGCCAAGGATTCTGTTAGCTTTATTGCAAACACTAATGCACTGTTGTCTTGGTTTTAGATTACTGCTAACCAGAACTCCTAAATCCTTTTTGCAATCAGTAGTATTAGGATCTACATTATTTAGTTTACATGTGGCATGGTTATTTTCCTGTCCAGTATTTAGAACTTTGCATCTGCCACTTCGCCGACCATTGCATCAGTCTATTCAAATCATCCTGGAGTGGTCTAGTGTCCTCATTAGAATGAATTGGCTGGCCTATTTTGTTGTCATCAGCAAATATGCTTATGTCGCTATTTATTTCCTCATCTATGTTGTTTATGTAAATTGTGAACAACAATGGGACCAACACTGACCCCTGCAGAACACCGCTTGTGACGTGCCCCCATTCTGATTTCTCCCCATTTATGCAAACTATCTGCTGCCTATTTGTCAGCCATGCCTCTACCCAGGAAAAAATTTCTCCGCTTATTCCGTGTGCATAGGTTAAAAGACATTCTGAAAAGGTGTTGCACAAATGTTGCACGTGGGTTATTATCGAGGTTTTTTGATATTTCCTTGACCACTTATGGCCACATCCACCTCAAAGCCACTAAACTCGGGGTCAACATCACTTTCCTCTTAAAATAGGAGAATTAATGCTACATGAAATCAGTGAATCCCAGGTGTCTGCCGCACTGTTTGCTCTAGTTGGCGCTCATTTGAACTGGTGCTCACACAAGGTACTAAGTGGTCCTAGATTTTTTAATAGTGCACACTGAGTGTTAAGACCCATTCTATGCTGACAAGGCTGAATCTCAGGCCAATCGTGCCATATTTGAAGGCAGGAAAAATAAAACGTTTATATACGTTTGGGGCACTAGCGGTAAGAACGTATACATACGTTTGGACCGTTTACGGGTTAAGGTTGGAATATATGTTTTTATACTCTAGGTCACCCATTAAGCTATGTAAAGTGAAATTTTCAACACAATTTCTCAATACCGTTGTCATATTTCCAGTCATATCCTTGAGGTTTGAAATTGTATATCATTTTATAAGACCACTGCATAACTTTTAAAGAATATTATTTTGCGTGTTTGCAGATGTTCCGGGAACACAACTTGGAGGACGTGACAGTATGTGCCGAAGACAGAGTGTGGGTACGAGGTTGGTTTCCCATTCTTTTTGAACTCTCCTGCATCATCACCAGATGTAAACTGGATGTCAGAACTCGTGCTCTTACAGTTTTATTTGAGGTGAGTCTTGGACAGTTGCCCACTTAAATTTCCCTGCAAGATACTCTGTGATATTCTTGAAAGTTGTATTAAAAGTTCTCTCATTCTTTGTACACATTTTTTTTATCATTACAAGCAAGTGGTAATTGCATCACTTGTGTGATAGCCAAAACCAGCAAGTGGCAATTGCATCATTTGTGTGATAGCCAGACTAGCAAGTGGGATTTGTTATCCTTTTTCAAGTATTATTTCAAGAGTCTTTGTATGGTAAAGGAGCTTAACATGTCTGGGGAAAAATTCTACACCAGGTTACCCCAGAAGGAGTGACACTTTCTAAGGAAAGCAAAGCATCAAAAATAATAATTCATTTTGGTCATCTCCCACTGAGGAAAGGTGACCCAAAAAAGAAACACTTTCACTGTCATTCACACATAATTACTATCTTTGCAAAGGATGTGCAAATATGACAGTTCAGATATCACTCAAAACAGCAAATATCCCAGACCCCTACTTTTGTAGCACTACGGATTTGAACGTTGATCTGTTTGGACAGTTTAAGGGTTAAAGTGCAGGCATTGTACTTCCCACCTCCAGGACTCAAGTCTAGCTAATTAATTAATGTCATTGCATATTTTCAGGTTGTGAAAAATTATGGAGGGTCTTACTCTTCCCATTGGTGGAAGGACCTCTTCCAGATTGTCTTTAGAATCTTTGACAATATGAAATTACCAGAGCAGCAAACTGAGGTATGTACACTGTGCCATTGAATACTCTAGGCAGTAGCTTGCTAGAAATTGTGTGTACATGATGACTTTATTAAACCTAAAAATTCTAAATATACAGTACAGTGGAACCTTGACTTATGAGTGTCCCTTCGTATGAGTTTTTTTGCGAGCCATCCCTGGGTCAATTTTTTGCTCTGAGTTACGAGCCCACATTTGGATTATGAGCCAGCTCCCCATGTTTCCCCCTCAACCCAAAACCTGGACACCTTGCTTGTTTATCTATGATTTCATGCTTTATTGCCATGGAAATCATCCTCTTTTTCTTCTCAGAATATCCTTTACACTTAGTTTCTTAGGACTCATGCTTAGAAAAACAAAATTTGGCCAAATAACAGTCAAAAATGTAAGCAAAAGCATGAATGAACTGCTCCCACAGCGAGGTAAACAGTACACTGAGTTGGCAGCATTCGTTATTATTATAATAATAATTATTCTTTCTTTCAACACACCGGCCATATCCCACCGAGGCGGGGTGGCCCAAAAGGAAAAACGAAAGTTTCTTCTTTTACATTTAGTAATATATAACGGAGAAGGGGTTACTAGCCCCTTGCTCCCGGCATTTTAGCCGCCTCTTACAACACGCATGGCTTACGGAGGAAGAATTCTGTTCCACTTTCCCATGGAGGTAAGAGGAAATAAACAAGAACAAGAACTAGAAAGAAAAGAGAAGAAAACCCAAAGGGGTGTGTATATATATGCTTGTACATGTATGTGTAGTGTGACCTAAGTGTAAGTAGAAGTAGCAAGACATGCCTGTAATCTTGCATATTTATGAGACAGACAAAAGACACCAGCAATCCTACCATCATGTAAAACAATTACAGGCTTTCGTTTTACACTCACTTGCTCTAGTTACCTAAATAAATAATAATAATAATAATTATTATTCTAGGTAGTAGATTGGTAGACAGCAACCGCCCAGGGAGGTACTACCGTCCTGCCAAGCGAGTGTAAAACGTAAGCCTGTAATTGTTTTACAAGATGGTAGGATTGCTGGTGTCTTTTTATTCTGTCTCATACACATGCAAGATTTCAGGTACGTCTTGCTACTTCTACTTACACTTAGGTCACACTACACATACATGTACACGTTTATTTATACACACTCATCTGAGTTTTCTTTGATTTTATCTTAATAGTTCTTGGTCTTATTACTTTTCCTTTTATATCCATGGGGAAGTGGAATAAGAATCTTTCCTCCGTAAGCCATGCATGTTGTAAAAGTCAACTAAAATGCCGGGAACAATGGGCTAGTAACCCCTTTTCCTGTAAAGATTACTATAAAGAATAAGAAGAAGAAAATTGTCAAAGTGGGAAGTCTGAATGTGCGTGGATGTTGTGCAAATGATAAGAAAGAGATGATTGTGGATGTTATAAATGAAAAGAAAACTGGATGTCCTGGCTTTAAGTGAAACAAAGCTGAAGGGGGTGGAGAGTTTCAATGGAGAGGAATAAATGGGATTAGTCAGGGGTTTCAAATAGAGTTAGAGCTAAAGAAGGAGTAGCAATAATGTTGAAGGATAAGCTATGGCAGGAAAAGAGGGACTACAAATGTCTAAATTCAAGGATTATGTGGAGTAAAATAAAGATTGGATGTGAAAAGTGGGTTATAGTAAGCGTGTATGCACCTGGAGAAGAAGAAGTGTAGAGAGAGAGAGAGAGATTTTGGGAAATGTTGAGTGAATGCGTGGGGAGTTTTGAATCAAGTGTCAGAGTAATGGTGTTGGGGATTTCAATGCTAAAGTGGGTAAAATGTTATGGAGGGAGTAGTTAGTAAATTTGGGGTGCCAGGGGTAAATGTAAATGGGGAGCCTTTAATTGAGCTATGTGTAGAAAGAAATTTGGTAATAAGTAATACATATTTTATGAAAAAGAGGATAAATAAATATACAAGGTATGATGTAGCACGTAATGAAAGTAGCTTGTTAGATTATGTATTGGTGGATAAAAGGTTGATGGGTAGGCTCCAGATGTACATGTTTATAGAGGGGCAACTGATATATCGGATCATTATTTAGTTGTAGCTACAGTTAGAGTAAGAGGTAGATGGGAAAAGAGGAAGGTGGCAACAACAAGTAAGAGGAGGTGAAAGTGTATAAACTAAGGAGGAGGAAAGTTCGGGCGAGATATAAGTGACTATTGGCAGAAAGGTGGGCTAGTGCAAAGATGAGTAGTGGGGGGGGTTGAAGAGGGTTGGAATAGTTTTAAAAATGCATTATTAGAATGTGGGGCAGAAGTTTGTGGTTATAGGAGGGTGGGGGCAGAGGAAAGGGGGAGTGATTGGTGGAATGATGAAGTAAAGGGTGTGATAAAAGAGAAAAAGGTAGCTTACGAGAGGCTTTTACAAAGCAGAAGTGTTATAAGAAGAGCAGAGTATATGGAGATAAAAGAAAGGTGAAGAGAGTGGTGAGAGAGTGCAAAAGGAGAGCAGATAAAGAGTGGGAGAGGCACTGTCTAGAAATTTTAATGAAAATAAGAAAAAATTTTGGAGTGAGTTAAACAAGTTAAGAAAGCCTAGGGAAAGTATGGATTTGTCAGTTAAAAACAGAGTAGGGGAGTTAGTAGATGGGGAGAGGGAGGTATTGGTAGATGGCGAGAATATTTTGAGGAACTTTTAAATGTTAAAAGAAGAAAGGGAGGCGGTAATTTCATGCACTGACTAGGGGGGGTATACCAAATCTTTTAGGAGTGAAGAAGAGCAGAATGTAAGTGTGGTGGGGGTACGTGAGGCATTACGTAGAATGAAAGGGGGTAAAGCAGCTGGAACTGATGGGATCATGACAGAAATGTTAAAAGCAGGGGGGTATATAGTGTTGGAGTGGTTGGTACTTTTATTTAAAAATTTTATGAAAGAGGGGAAGGTACCTAGGGATTGGCGGAAGAGCATGTATAGTCCCTTTATATAAAGGGAAAGGGGACAAAAGAGTTTTGTAAAAATTATAGAGGAATAAGTTTACTGAGTATACAGGAAAAGTATACGGTAGGGTTATAATTGAAAGAATTGAGGTAAGAAGAATGTAGGATTGTGGATGAGCAAGGGGGCTTCAGAGTGGGTAGGGGATGTGTAGATCAAGTGTTTACATTGAAGCATATATGTGAACAGTATTTAGATAAAAGGGAGGGAAGTTTTTATTGCATCTATGGATTTAGAAAAGGCATGGATAGAGTGGATAGAGGAGCAATGTGGCAGATGTTGCAAGTATATGGAATAGGTGGTAAGTTACTAAATGCTGTAAAGAGCTTTTATGAGGATAGTGGGCTCAGGTTAGGGGGGTGTAGAAAGAGAGGAGAATACTTCCCGGTAAAAGTAGGTCTTAGACAGGGATGTGTAATGTCACCAGGGTTTTTTAATATATTTATAGATGGGGTTGTAAAAGAAGTAAATGCTAGGGTGTTCGGGAGAGGGTGGGATAAAATTATGGGGAATCAAATTTAAAATGGGAATTGACACATTACTTTTTTGCTGATGATACTGTGCTATGGGAGATTCTAAAAAAAAATTGCAAAGGTTAGTGGATGAGTTTTAGAATGTGGTGTAAAGGTAGAAAGTTGAAAGTGAACAAGAAAAGAGTAAAGTGATGGGGGTATCAAATGATTTAGATAAAGAAAAATTGGATATCAAATTGGGGGGGAGTATGGAAGAAGTGAATGTTTTCAGATATTGGGATTTGATGTTCGGCGGAATGGATTTATGAGGATGAGGTTAATCATAGAATTGATGAGGGAAAAAAGGTGAGTGGTGCATTGAGGTATATGTGGAGTCAAAAAACTTATCTATGGAGGCAAAAAAGGGGAAAGTATGAAAGTATAGTAGTACCAACACTCTTATATGGATGTGAAGCTTGGGTGGGAAATGCAGCAGCGAGGAGATGGTTGGAGGCAGTGGAGATGTCCTGTCTAAGGGCAATGTGTGGTGTAAATATTATGCAGAAAATTCAGAGTGTGGAAATTAGGAGAAGGTGTGGAGTTAATAAAAGCATTAGTCAGAGGGCAGAAGAGGGGCTGTTGAGGTGGTTTGGTCATTTAGAGAGAATGGAACAAGTAGAATGACATGGAAAGCATATAAATCTATAGGGGAAGGAAGGAGGGGTAGGGTCGTCCTCGAAAGGGTTGGAAAGAGGGGGTAAAGGAGGTTTTGTGGGCGAGGGGCTTGGACTTCCAGCAATCGTGCATGAGCGTGTTAGATAAGAGTGAATGGAGACGAATGATACTTGGGACCTGACGATCTGTTGGAGTGTGAGCAGGGTAATATTTAGTGAAGGGATTCAGGGAAACCGGTTATTTTCATATAGTCGGACTTGAGTCCTGGAAATGGGAAGTACAATGCCTGCACTTTAAAGTAGGGTTTTGGGATATTGGCAGTTTGGAGGGATATGTTGTGTATCTTTATACGTATATGCTTCTAAACTGTTGTATTCTGAGCACCTCTGCAAAAGCAGTGATAATGTGTGAGTGTGGTGAAAGTGTTGAATGATGATGAAAGTATTTTGTTTTTGGGGATTTTCTTTCTTTTTTGGGTCACCCTGCCTCGGTGGGAGACGGCCGACTTGTTGAAAAAAAAAAAAAACTAGAGCACAGGTCCAATTCCCTAGATCAAGAGCCCCTCACCAGCATCAAGGTTCCTTGACGCTGGTGAGAGGCTCTTGATCTAAGGAATTGGATCTGTGCTCCATTTCCCTGTCATGTAGGGGGGGTAATGATTAGGGGAATATGGGGGTAAGCGGAGGGAGTCCGTAGGTAGGGGACAGGCGAGGCAGTAGGAGGGATGAGGGTGGAGGCAGTTAATGTGCTAGGAGGGATGAGTGTGGAGGTCGGTAAGGTAATGTGAGGTCACTGGTGACTACAACTTCACCTCTCATTACTCTACCCACCACTCCACACTCACCCTCTCACCACTTTAACTAAACATAAATAAATGGAGAAAATAACGGGGACAGTGAATATTACTATTCTACTCAAACACAGTTTATTATTAAGTCCTTGTACAATAATATATTTGAGAACAGGAGTACATCATTGGGGTTTAGATAAATGGGGTGGTACATATAAGCAGTGAGACAGGGAATACAATCAACTTGACCAAAATTAATATAACTTACAATATAGTACAGAGGACAGTTCACTACAGGAACTAAGCCACAGGTCCGAAGGCCTACACAGCACGAGTACTGCGCCAAGCCAGTACTCTCCCCAATGCCTCCAACAGTCTCCTCCAGAGACTTCAGCAGCCTTCTCCTGAGCCCTGCACCCCAGCAGCAGCTCCGCTCGAATCTCCTGATCATGCTCTTCCTTGGGCTTTTATGGTGGTCCAAGCACCCTCCACAACCACGTGTACGACCTGACGCCGTCAAGAACAAAAGACCTCAGACGTGGGCGTGGCTACAGACGTTTGCCAAGGCAAGGTGTGACCATATAATTGGTTAAATTAGGTCTCCCCAGAGACCTCAAGCCCAGCTGAACTACATCACACACTGGCCGATTCCCACCAAGGCAGGGTGGCCCGAAAAAGAAAAACTTTCACCACCATTTACTCCATCACTGTCTTGCCAGAAGGGTGCTTTACGCTACAATAGTATAATAATATAATAATTATAATAATATAATACTGTAATAATAATGATAGAGCTTCAGTTCCCTAAATTAATAATAATAATAATAATAAAAAAAATTTTTCAACTAGTCGGCCGTCTCCCACCGAGGCAGGGTGACCCAAAAAGAAAGAAAATCCCCAAAAAGAAAATACTTTCATCATCATTCAACACTTTCACCTCACTCATACATAATCACTGTTTTTGCAGAGGTGCCCAGAACACAACGGTTTAGAAGCATATACATATAAAGATACACAACATATCCCTCCAAACTGCTAATATCCCAAACCCCTCCTTTAAAGGGCAGGCATTATACTTCCCATTTCCAGTACTCAAGTCTGGCTATATAAAAATAACCGATTTCTTTGAATCCCTTCACTAAACATTACCCTGCTCACACTCCAACAGCTCGTCAGGTCCCAAATACCATTTGTCTCCAATTACTCCTGTCTAACATGCTCACGCATGCTTGCTGGAAGTCCAAGCCCCTTGCCCACCAAACCTCCTTTACCCCCTCCCTCCAACCTTTATCAAGGATGACCCCTACCCCGCCTTCTTTCCCCTACAGATTTATACGGTCTCCATGTCATTCTACTTTGATCCATTCTCTCTAAATGACCAAACCACCTCAACAACCCCTCTTCAGCCTTCTGACTAATACTTTTATTAACTCCACATCTTCTTCTGATTTCCACACTCCGAATTTTCTGTATAATATTTACACCACACATTGCCCTTAGACAGGACATCTCCACCGCCTCCAACCACCTCTTTGCTGCAGCATTTGCAACCCAAGCTTCACACCCATATAAGAGTGTTGGTACCACTGTTCTTTCATACATTCCCTTCTTTGCCTCCAAAGAAAAATAAGAAGAAATAATAATAATACATAATATGTACTTAATAATTCAGAATGCTGCCGCTAGTTGGCACAGCTGATGCCAGAAATCTGGTAAGCAGTACACGTGTATACATTGCTGTGGGAGCAGTTGTCTGGTGCTTGCTTGCGTTTTTTTATTGTCATTTGACCAAATTGTTTTTTTCTAACCATGGGTCCTAAGAAAGTAAGTGCAAAGGACAGTGCTGAGGAGAAAAAGAGGATGATTTCCATGGACTTAGCCAGGCAATACCAGTTGAGCACATCTACAAAATCTAGATACTAAAGCTGTGTCAGTTAGGTTCAGTGATTAAGCAACCATTGAGAAACAGGATGTTAAATCCTGCTTTTGTTTCAGGTACATAAACACATTTCTGATCTTATATAACCTGTTGCTTCTGTCAGGCCTGGTTTTGCCTGAAAAGTGTAACATACGTAACAGTATCAGGAGACGATTGACACCTATAATGTCACTAAAACCTGGAGTTGAAATCAGGCGTTCTGTTGCCCAGTATGTGGCGACAGTGTGCTTATACATTATTGTGGCAAAAAACAGATACATCAGGGGTCCCAGAGTTTCTCCTTCCCCTTGGAACAACATATGAAACACTACCAGACTGGATGCTACGTCGTACATACTGCCGCTTCACTGGGGAATATTCACTCTCACTGTCACTAGAACTGTTTTCAATGACCTTAAAATCATTATCACTATCACTGCTATCATCTGGGTGTTGTACACGACCAAATAGTTTTCTCTTTCATCCTGGTACAGGCGAATGTGAACAAGCCGGCATAGCACCAGAGGTGGAAGGTTGTGGGTCATTTGGGTTTTCATCACTAATTACATTATCCTGGACACTTTTTCTGGTAACACTCACTTCAAAACCCTGGAATTCACTGTCACTGACATTTTCATCGCTGTTGGAGGAAACTTGTAAAAATAGTAAAATTTCTGATTTTAAATAGAAATGTAAATATTTCTTGCATTTATATAAAGTTAAAGATGAACTCGATGGAATAATTTGGGCAGGAGATCGTCGAGGAGCATAGGTGAGTCTTACATAAGCTTCACAATAATTAATAAACTCATTCTTAATTAGAATTTGGAACAGAATTTCTGGGTAGAGTTTCAGTTGGTGGTCCTGGTGGTTGTGGTCCCGGAGAGTCAAGTAGCACAGGGACTTCAGCGATTGTGGTGATCGTAGCGATGGTGGTGATGGTGGCGGTTGTATACCTATTGATCTTATAATATATTGGCATTCATCTTTAAACAAAACAAATTGTATCAGTTAAGTTCAGTGATTAAACAAAACAATGTTGTTGTTGGAGGTTTACAGGGCCTCTGACATCATACGCTGCACTCTCAACATTTTCCCACCCTCAAAATACCCCCCCACCCTCAACATCCCCCCTCACCCTCAACTTCCCCACCACCCTCAACATCCTCCTGCCCTCAACATCTCCCCCCCATCCTCAACATCCTCCCCCACCCTCAACATCTCCCACCATCTCTGATCCAAGTTAGTTACCATTTGGTCCTAGGCACATGTCGATTAGACACTAGGCCTGTTGTATGTGCATGCGTATATATGTGTGTGTGTGTTAGTTACCATTTGGTCCTAGGCACATGTCGATTAGACACTAGGCCTGTTGTATGTGCGTGCGTATATATGTGTGTGTGTTAGTTACCATTTTGTCCTAGGCACATGTCAATTGTGTAAGTACATATACACTTTATATAAACAGTTTAATATTTCTTTACATTCTGTAGTGTATTGCGACTTATGTTTTTATATACAATATTTCTGCAGTTAGCCTCACAAATACTCCATTTTCTCTTACAATAAGAGCATGGGAAGATGCTATAGTCAAAGTTGGACAGGAAATGGCGGACGCTTCCGCCGCTGCCTCTGCAACCATATTATGGCCTATTTTATTCATTCTGGAGTATATATCATGTTTCTGTGTTAATTATATTGTTTATTGTGTCATATTAGATGAAATGTGATAGATAAATAAACCGTACAGTTGATATTAGTGTCATATTCAAGTATTTTGTCTCGTCTCCAGAATGCAGGAACGGATTAATGGCTTTTCGATTAATTTAAATGATGAAAATTGATTTGAGATATGAGTAACTTGAGTTACGAGCTAGGTCACGGAATGGATTAAACTCATAAGTCAAGGTTCCGCTGTATTTTGTAATTATCAATATGCAAGCACTGTATGTTTTTCAGTTTTCAGAGGCTGCAAACACTCATATACGCTGAAAACTTTCATGTAATTTACAGTATAACATTTTATTTATTTTATGTCTTCATAATATTTTTTTTGTGTGCGTATGTTTGTTTTTTGTTTGTGTATTTTCATAAGAATTAATTTTCATGTGTACACATGTATAAATATTTGGTTGCATGTCAGTACTGGATGTATGTATACATGTTATTCTTTGCTATTATTTTTCTTGCTGTTTATGTTAATTTAATAATATACCCTAATGATTTCTTTAGTATTATTTGATGAATATTTTAACTTATTACATTTAGCTTTTATATCTGATTAATTTCTGTTTTGTTGTTATTATTTGATTTAAATAGCTTTTCATATTTTCTTAGGAATTATTTACAGTATTTATATTGCTCTCCAGTGACTTAGAGATGGCAAGCAAATGAATACTTGTTCTCGTGAGTTTCTAAAAGAAAAAAATCTTGTAATTTTCCCATCACAGAGCCAAGTGGAGTTAACCGAGATACAGGCTGAGGTTGGTGGTCATGTCTTACAAGTCTGGGTTGTTGATGGAACTCGGTGACTAAATTACCCCAGTCCTGTGTTATGAATGCATGTTGTTAATAACACTACTTACTCATCCTATGTCATTTTGGAGGCTCCCCTTTACCTAGCATAACCTATAAATTTAATATCCATAATGAAGTTACACTAATTCATAACTAAAGAACTTAAGTTGAAAGCAGTTGATTAAGTTGTCCTGGACCATTATAAAGATATGTAATGACTTGTTAGAGGTTGACGATGGACTGAAACTTGCATGTTGTTCCAGCCACAGTCCTCTGACTCTCATTATACTTTAACAGAATTAATTACAGTACATCATTTATATCTGTTCATCTATTGTTTTCCTCTGATATGCCTGAGACTTAATTCATTGGGAATTGCATTGAGGTCAAGAATGTTATTTAAAATGTAATACTGTATAGCATACATCTCTTAAAATATCAGTGTTAACGTGATTGAAGCTAGCAGCAGTTAGTTTTTAATTTTTGTAAATTTAAAAGTAAATAGTAAAAATATTTTCTTTCAGTGACTGTAATTGGTAAACTGCCTCAAATATTTTACATAAATGGGATATGAATTATGTCAGATTTACACAATACTGCATTTAGCTTTGCAAATTAACTACTAAAATATACCAAACCAATAACATGTGTAGCTTAACCCTGTATAACAAAGATATACCTAGTTACAATCATTATTATTATTTATTATTGAAATTTGTCAATTTTGTGATGCTTTTAACAAATTATTGCAGTTATAGCTGAATGTACAGTGTTCATCGTTAAAGTATGCCGGCCCCCCTATAAAACCACGACTGCAAAATAGGTCTTCCCTTAAGCTTTAGGATATTTTCAACTGTCTAGGAAGTAATTAACACGCATTCTTCAGGGTTTCATGGCTGTAAATTTCTCCACCACTTGTGGATGGCATCCTCCAACCATGGAAATGGGCTGATATCTTACCCTTTGTAGATCTCTCTCTATCACAGCCTAGAGGTTCTTAATTAATGAGGCTCAAGTGTGGGGAATTTCCTGGCCAGTCAATGAAGAAGAGTGCATCAGAGTCTCGATGCCAATGAGCAAAACCAAAATATTGTAACAGTAATAAAAATCAGTATACCATGATTCATACAATTCACAACTAATCTACAATTTGGAGAGGAAACTTTACATGTTTTTGGTTCATCATGGATGATTGTCAAGTCACATAGTTTTTATGGCCTCTCAGCTGTGTCGTCTAGAATTAGTAAAATTTAGTTTTGCAGTATTACTTACATTTTGTAGGTTTCTAATTAAAGGTGAGCTCCCAAATTTGAAGGTCCTATAAAGTTGTATGCTTGGATGGGATACTAATGAAGTTTGCAGTAATATTGATTTTGAGTAGTGGTGGGTGTTTCAGGCGGTGAAGGTTTTTAACCCTTTCAGTGTCCATGCTGTCCTTCGGCTCTGGAGCCGATGTCCATGCCGTAGTACTATGCTATGAGCTCAGCTTGCTCAAATAAGCTGTGAGCAGTAAATTTGGGCCTAAATATGAGAGAATGGGTCTTTGCAGTAAGTGTGCACCAAATAAAAAAATCCTGCAGCAGGCAGTGCGTAATGAGAAAAAACTGCAACCATGTTTTAACTTTAAAACAGCGACTTTGTGGTGTATTTTCATATAGTTTTTATGGTTGTATTCTCTGTTTCTTGATGTCATTTGATAGAACATATATTACAGAAATAGAGATTATTTTGATTGGTTTCAGGACTGAAAATAGCTTGAAATTGAGCTCAAAGTAGCAGATATGTTCGATTTTTGCACGTATTCAAAAGTAAACAAATCACATCACTCATCCAATATGCATACAACAGGTCACTCTAATATGCATTCACGAATGCACTGACACTATTTATACAATTATTTCATTAATTCATAACAATAAATCTTCTATTTTTTTGTGTGAATAAAAATTCAAAATGGAATTCATGTGTAAAGCCTGGGAACATAACTAATGAACAGAGGAAATGTTATTTTAGTGCCAGGAATGCCTACATTGTTTATTTTGGATTCTCTCTTGAAATTTGTATGAAATTCGCCAAATTACCAATTTCTGATTACTTTATTGGGTAGTTGAAATAGCTGATTGGACGGTTTCTTGTGCTCATTTGATAAAATGGAAGACATGCTGGTGAAATAGACAAGAATTTGGTCAACTGAAACAATGTAATTATCCTAAAATAGGACTCAAAGTGGGCAAAATTGCTGATGTACAAATATCGCTGACGTGGCAAAATTCACAAAAGCGTAATTTTGTCAGTTTTCCATCATATTTCATACTGTGTTTTATTACCTTCAGTAAAAGATTCTCTACCATTTCATAAAAAAAATAATTTTTTTTTATTAAAGTTCTTGGGCACTATGGACACTTTCCGATTGGGGATCTGAACACTCGAGGGGTTAAAAGGTGATGGTTTTTAAAGGGTGATGTGTTTTAAATGGCTATGGTTTTTAAAAGGTAATGGTTTTTAAAAGGTGATTTTTTTTTGGAAGGTGATGGTTTTTTTTAAATGGAGATGTTTTTATAAATGGTGGTGATCTTTTAATGGTGAATTGTCTTGGTGCACTGGTAGGCATAAGAGTGATGGTGGGTATTCTGGCAAGCAAATTTGATGATCATGTATCAAGGATAACTTGAGGTACATCTTAAAAAAATTGAGAATTAAGAAAATTCACTTGACAGAAAAGTTAGAAATAAAATTCCTGTACTTAGATAGCATATTCCCATTCTCTATATATTTTTGTAATCTCCACTTTGACAACAGGTCAAGCTTAGCAGTGAAAGTTACTACACTTACTGAATTTTACTCACCAAGTTGTGTTTGCAGGGGTTGAGACTCTGCTCCTGCCCGTGCCTCCTACTCTCGTGTAATCTTGAGTTCAGGATAAGTTGTGCTGTCAATAGTTTGAGGGTTAAGAGTTCTCCTTTGTGTTAAAAGTACAGTACTATACTGTATTCAGTTTCACTAAATAGTGAAAGTTTTCTTTTCAACCTGATATATTACTGTCACTAAGTCCTGTCTTTAATACTGTTATATAATAACAGTATATTACTAAATGTAAAAAAAAATATATACAGTGGACCCCCTGGATATTGGCTGGTGCAGAAATCGGCCAATTTGGAAATCAAGCACTTTTTTTGGCAAAATTTCCCCCCAGATTTCGGCCATCCACTCGGAAGTTGTTGGTATGAGAGACATCCACCCGCCGGCGACGAGCTTCCTCACGCTTATCACACTCAGTCTGTGCGTCTCTCTCATTGGGTTAGGAATACTCCGTGCATTCATCCATTGGTTTTGGTGCTTGTTGATTGGTTGCAACTGTGAAATAAGCCACCATGGGGCCAAAGAAAGTTCAGAGTGCCAGCCCTTTGGTAAAGGTGAGAAACATGTTAGAATTCAAGAAAGAAGTTATTGCAAAATATGAAAGTGGCATATGTGGGGTGGAGCTGGCCAGGATGTATGGGAAATCTACATCAACAATCAGTTCTATCCTGTTGAAGAAAGCAGAAATTAAGGAAGCTGATGTTGCGAAAGGTGTAAATATGCTAATGAAGCATAGGTCTCAAACAATCGAGGATGTGGAGAAGTTCTTGTTGGTGTGGGTCAACGAGAAACAATTAGTGGGAGATAGTGTTTCGGAGGGGATAATTTGCGAGAAAGCAAGGCAGCTGCATACAGATCTCGTAAAGAAAATGCCGGGAACGAGTGCTGCTGTTAGTGAATTTAAGGCCGGCAAAGGCTGGTTCGATAGAAGCAAGAGGCGTAGTGGCATACACAGTGTTGTAGGGCATGGCGAGGCTGCAAGTTCTGACAAATGTGTGGCCGAAGCATTTGTTGATGAATTCAAGGGGTACGTAGGGGCTGAAGGATTCCTCCCCCTAACAAGTGTTCAGTTGTGATGAAACAGGCCTCTTTTGGAAGAAAATGCCAAAGAGGACCTACATCACTCAGGAGGAAAAGGCACTGCCAGGACACAAGCCTATGAAGAATAGGCTAACTCTTTTGTTTTGTGGTAATGCTAGTGGGGATTTCAAAGTGAAGCCTTGACTCGTGTATCACTGAAAATCCCTAAGTGTTCAAGAAAAACAATGTCATGAAGAGTAAATTGTGTGTGATGTGGAGGACTAACAATAATGCATGGGTCATGAGGCTAATTTTCATTGAGTGGGTCAAAGAAGTGTTTGCCATGAGTGTGAAGAAATACCTACTGGAAAACAAATTGTCACTTAAGTGCCTGCCTCCTGGTAGTGGACAGTGTTCCTGCTCATCCTCCAGACTTGGAAGACCTATTGTTTGAGGAGTAAATTCATCACAGTGAAGTTCTTGCCCCCTAATACCACATCTCTCATCCAGCCCGTGGACCAGCAGATCATTTCAAACTTCAAAAAACTGTACACCAGAGCAATGTTTTGAAGGTGTTTTGAAGTGACCTCAGACACTGAATTGACCCTAAGAGAGTCTTGGAGGAATCACTTCAATATTCTCTATTGCATAAGCCTTATAGATAAGGCTTGGCAGAGAGTGACTTCCAGGACTTTGAACTCTGACTGAAGAAAATTGTGGCCAGAATGTGGCCTCAAGAAGGATTTTGAAAGGTTTGAGGCTGACCCTGACGATCCTTACGCCTATTGTGGAATCTGTTGTGTCTTTGGGGAAGTCCATGGGGCTGGATGTGAGTGGCCAGGATGTGGAAGAGTTGGTGGAGGACTACAGGGAAGAGCTAACCACTGAAGAGCTGCAACAACTTCAACAGGAACAGCAACAGACTGTAGCTGAGGATATTGCTTCGGAGGAGGAAGAGAGGGGGGAGAATGTGCCTTCTTCAGTGATCAAGGACATTTGTGCAAAGTGGAGTGAGGTGCAAAGTTTCGTGGAGAATTATCACCCTGACAAAACTGTTGCAAGCTGTGTCAGCAACATGTTCAATGACAATGTCTTGTTCCATTTTAAGCAAATTTTACAGAGACGCCAGAAGCAGGCCTCTCTGGACAGATTTTTTGTGCGACAGGGGTGTAGTGACTCTCAAGCTGGTCTTAGTGCCAGTAAAAAATAGAGAAAGAAGGGGATTTCCCTTTCAAACATTAAGCTCCCCTCCCTCTCCTCTCCTCGCTTTCTTTCATATGCCAACAAGAGTCTTCAATAAAGGTATGTAATGTTCATTTATTATTAAAATTACTGCTTTATATTTCTTTCTCATTGTTTTCTGTATGTAAAACTATAGGTATTCTTTAAAAAATGTATTTTTTGTTAATTTTTTGAGTGTCTGGAACGCATTAATTGGATTCACATTATTTCTTACGGGAAATATTACTTCGGTTTTTGGCCATATCGGATTTAAGCCAGCCTTGTGGAATGGATTACTGCCGATAACTGGGGGTCCACTGTATTTTATAGTTTTTCTTTTTTGGGTCACTCTACCTCGATGGGAAACGGCTGATGTGTTAAAAATAAAAATAAAAAGATGTAATGTGTTCTCTCTTAAATTAGTACCACAGTGTTTTATATTTACATCTGCAAGGTTCACACCACTGTTGTTGATTCTTTCTTCTTTCAACACACCAGCCATATCCCACCGAGGTGTGGTGGCCCAAAAGGAAAAACCAAAGTTTCTCCTTTTACATTTAGTAACATATACAGGAAAAGGGGTTACTAGTCCCTTGCTCCTGGCATTGTAGTCGCCTCTTACTACACGCACGGCTTACGGAGGAAGAATTCTGTTCCACTTTCCCATGGAGACTGCTGTAGATGTAAGGACTATAAAGGTAAAGGGGCAAACAGCATAAGTGTGTGATGATTACTTTTTGCTTTTGAATTGTATAGTAAATAAAAGTATTGGGTTATACAGTATTTTATTCTAAATGTGGGAGTGAGTCTTTGATCAAATATTTTTACAGTGCATGCAGTATCTCTTTGAACTCTATAAATAATATATGTAGAAGAAATCACAGTAAAAGGTGTGATTGCAAATATCAAAAATACCACAATAAAAGCAGGAAATAAAATCTGAGCACTTTCATGTGCTTACACACACACGCATGCACACCTTCCAAGATGTGTGTGTAAGCACATGAAAGCACTCAGGTTTTATTTCCTATTTTCACTGGTAGTTTTTCATAAATATAGATATGCTAAATTAAAAGATAATGATTGCACAAGATGTTGTAAGGTTAGAATTTTCAATTATTAATTGGATGTCTTCCATCCTATCTTGCTTAATATTTAATGTTTCTCTTTGTTGTGGTTATGATAAGTTGTTTTTATGTTTTCAGTTTTCTTTTATTTAGTGATATGCCTATAAATCTGAATTTTGTAATCTAAAGACTTCTGTGAACTTTATTTTTTACAATTACATATTAATGGATGAAAGCACCATTCATTCCTGGTGTCAGATGTAGCACTATTCTTGTCAAAGATTTGTTACTGAAGTTAAGAATCCAATAAATATAATGTCATTTTTCCCATGGCCAATGTTGTGCAGATACATTTTAAAATGTTTTTCCAAATTTTGACATGAACAGAAGAATGAGTGGATGACAACGACGTGTAACCACGCCCTGTATGCCATTGTGGATGTGTTTACCCAGTATTTTGAAGTGTTAAGTCCTATGCTCTTGGAAGACCTGTACACGCAACTCCGCTGGTGTGTTCAGCAGGGTGAGTAGCAAGTCTCTTGTTGTGTTCTGCTTCACTTTATGGGCTATAATCTCTCTTGAATAGTAATTTTTTTTTTCCAAGTCGGCCATCTCCCACCTAGGCAGGGTGACCCAAAAAAGAAAGAAGAGATCCCCAAAACGAAAATACTTTCATTACCATTTAACACTTTCACCTAACTCGTACATAATTACTGTTTTTGCAGAGGTGCCCAGATACAACAGTTTAGAAGCATATATAAAGATACAGTATAAAAAGTGACCTGAAATAATACAAACTCCCTATAGAATATAATATCAGGGCCCCAGTTATATATATACACCATCCTATTACACACCCCTCCAAACTGCCAATATCCCAAACCCCTCCTTTAAAGTGTAGGCATTGTACTTCCCATTTACAGAACACAAGTCTGGCTACATAAAAATAACCAGTTTCCCTGAATCCCTTTACTAAATATTACCCTGCTCACACTCCAACAGCTCATCAGGTCCCAAAAACCATTCATCTCCATTCACTCCTATCTAACACGCTCATGCACGCTTGCTGGAAGTCCAAGCCCCTCGCCCACAAAACCTTCTTTACCCCGTTCTTCCATCCTTTTCGAGGACGACCCCTACCCACCTTCCTTCCCCTACACATTTATATGCTCTCCATGTCATTCTACTTTGATCCATTCTCTCTAAATGACCAAACCACCTCAACAACCCCTCTTCAGCCCTCTGACTAATACTACTTTTATTAACTCCACACCTCCTAATTTCCACACTTCAAATTCTCTGCATAATATTTACAACACACATTGCCCTTAGACAGGACATCTCCACTGCCTCTAACGGCTTCCTCGCTGCAGCATTTACAACCCAAGCTTCACACCCATATAAGAGTGTTAGCACCACTGTACTTTCATACATTCCCATCTTTGCCTCCATTGATATAATTTTTTGTCTCCACATATACCTCAATGCACCACTCACCTTTTTTCCCCTCATCAATTCTATGGTTAACCTCATCCTTCATAAACCCATCCGCTGACACATTAACTCCTAAATATCTAAAAACATTCACTTCTTCCATACTCCTCCTCTCCAATGTGATATCCAATTTTTCTTTATCTGAATCATTTGATACTCTCATCACCTTACTCTTATCTATGTTCACTTTCAGCTTTGAAAGGTATTTAACCCTTAAACTGTCCAAACGTAGATATACGTTTGCTCACGTAGCGCTCTGAATGTAGATCTACATTTTTTTTACATTCTTTCTTACGGGGAAAATCAAGGTTGGAGCACTACGCGTGCAAACGTAGATCTATGTTTGGACAGTTTAAGGGTTAAATCATATCTTCTATGTACTATCTGCATTCCTGTTTACCAAATGCAAATTAGAGTAAGAATGTTATTATTGTATCCCTGAAGATGCTTACCTGTTCCAACCTCTTTTAAATGGACAAAGGTTTATATTCCATTCAATATAAGTAGCTCTAAAACATTAAAATTGAAGAGACAGTACATTGAAGTGAGCCTCTTATTTCATTCGGTATAAGCTCTTAAATATCATGTGATGATAAAAAGTACATTAAAGTGAATTACAATACTCTCTTTCCTTAACAGATAATGAACAGCTTGCTCGCTCAGGTACCAACTGTCTAGAAAACCTTGTGATTTCCAATGGACCAAAACTAAGCCCTACCACATGGGGTAAAACCTGCCAGTGCCTCTTGGATATCTTTCATTCCACATTACCTCATGCTCTTCTCTCATGGAAACCACCTGAGCCAAGCTCTGGCCACCAGGTACGTCCATTTTAGTGAGCTTCAAACTGGCTATATTAACCCTTTGAGGGTCGACAGGCCCTCTCCGAAACTCGTTCTCAGGGTCGGCCAAATTTAAAAAAAAAAAAAATTATTTTCTCTTATGAAAAGATAGAGAATCTTTTCCCGATCATAACGACACCAAAAGTTTGAAAATTGATAGAAAACTTACGGAATTGTGCTCTCGCAAAGTTAGCGGTCTCGGCGATGTTTACGCATCGGCGATTTTGCCCACTTTGAGCCCCATTTTCTGCCAATTTCACTGTACTAGTCGACAAAATACATGAATATTTCGCTAGAACTCCATTTTTTCTATCGAATGGGTGCAAGAAACCACCCATTTATAAATTCAACTATCCAGTACAGTGGTCAGAATTTAGCAATTTTGCCAATTTCACACAAATTTCAAAAGATGCCAATTTCGGAATAGGGTCCAGAATAAACAAGAAAGACATTCCTGGCACTAAAATGACATTTCCTCTAGTCATTAGTCACGTCTCAAGGCCCCTCTTATATTCTTTTGCTTTCCACTTTGAATTTTTATTCTCACAAAAAATATAAGATTTACTGTTATGCAGACTACTGCATTAGTGTAAAAAATGGTATAAATATTATTGGTGCACTTGTGAAAGAATATTAGACTCACCAGTTGACGTGTATTGCACGCTTGGCACGATTTGTTTACTTTTGAAGTTTGGTAAAAATCGAACATTTCTGCTACTTTGAGCTCAATTTCAAAGCACCTTTCATTGTAAAACCAGTCAAAATCATCTCAGTTTCAGTAATATGTCTTCCATTCTATAAAATGAGACCAAGAAAACTAGAATACAACAATAAATACCATACGAAAATACACTGCAAAGTCGCTGATTTATTAAAAAAAAATGGTCAAAGTTTTTTTTTTCTCATTATGCACTGTGTGCTGCAGGATTTTTTTTAGACTGTGCACACTGACCACATAGACCCATTCTTTCATATAAAGGCCTACCAGCTTTCTCCCACTAGATTTGAGGCCGCTAGAATTTATGAGTACTAGTACGTCAAAAACCCCTACGCGTAAGACGTACTAGTACGACGAAAACCCTCAAAGGGTTAAGGAATGGCTCAGAAAAATTGCCATTTTTGTTTGAAGATAGGCTTAAGTCTGCCCAAAACATCTGCATAACAATGGGCTTTTTGCATGCATACCTAAATGTCACCCATCTGTTTACAAACATTGTATCATGCTGAAATAAAGATTATGATTATGATATTAAATATGGAAGGAGAGTACAAAGGAAATAGAGTGGAGGCATTTTTTAAATTTTTTATTTTTTAGTATTGATTCACAATTTTTGTAAGTATTGTACAGTGGTGGTTTGGAAATGTCTAAAATCAGTTGCCCGAAATGTGATCAATCCATACATCATTAGTCCTATTCTATGCTACTTATAGTCTTCCTAAAAGAATATTGCAGTCACAATAAGAGTCAGATGTCATTCTTTGTTTAAGCTTTCCACTTGAGGCATGTGTACCTCTTGTATTACCTGCATGCTCAGATCTCTCTTATAATGATTTGTTTAATGTTTGGTTCTTAGGTAATACTGGAGAGCCCTGCATGTACAGCACCTCTTTTGGGTGTTTTGTGTTTTTTTGGCTTTCAATTTAACCCTTTCAGGGTTTTGGCCGTACTAGTACGGCTTACGCTCCAGGGTTTTTGACGTACTAGTACGCCTAAATTCTAGCGCCCTCAAATCTAGTGAGAGAAAGCTGGTAGGCCTACATATGAAAGAATGGGTCTATGTGGTCAGTGTGCGCAGTATAAAAAAAATCCTGCACCACACAGTGCGTAATGAGAAAAAAAAAACTTTGTGTTTTTGGATTAAAACAGCGACTTTGCACTGTATTTTCGTATGATATTTATTGTTGTATTCTAGTTTTCCTGGTCTCATTTTATAGAATGGAAGACATATTACAGAAATTGAGATGATTTTGACTGGTTTTACAAAGAAAAGTACCTTGAAATTGAGCTTAAAGTAGCAGAAATGTTCGATTTTTACCAAAGTTCAAAAGTAAACAAATCATGATATGCGTCCAATACACGTCAACTGATGAGTCTAATATTCTTTCACAAGTGTGCTGATATTATTTATACCATTTCTACACCAATGCAGTAGTCTGCATAACAGTAAATCTTTATTTTTTTGTGAGAATGAAAATTCAAAGTGGACAGCAAAAGAATGTAAGAGGGGCAATGGGACGTGGCTAATGAACAGAAGAAATGCTATTTTAGTGCCAGGAATGTCTTTCTTTTTTATTCTGGACCCTATTCGGAAATTGGCATCTTTTGAAATTTGTGTGAAATTGGCAAAATTGCTAAATTCTGACCACTGTATTGGATAGTTGAAATTGGTAAATGGGTGGTTTCTTGTACTCATTTGATAGAAAAAAATGGAGTTCTAGCGAAATAGTTATGAATATTTGTCAACAAGTACACTGGAATTGGCCAAAAATAGGGCTCAAAGTGGGCAAAATCGCAGATGCATAAACATCGTCGAGACTGCTAACTTCATGAGAGCATAATTCCGTAAGTTTTCCATCAAATTTCATACTTTTGGTGTCACTATGATTGGGAAAAGATTCTCTATCTTTTCATATTTTTTTTTTTTTTTTTTTTTTTTTTTTTTTAAATTTGGCCGACCCTGAGAACAAGTCTCTGGGAGGGCCTTTTGACCCTGAAAGGGTTAACTGTTGTTTTACCTCCTGGCAGGTGCAACATCATGAATAGTGGCTCAGCTTGAAGTCACCAAATAGAAGGTGCTGTATATGTGGAGCTCTCCTGTACATTTTCTAAGTGAGGAACTATTGTAAACATAATGGCCTCTTCCCTTTCAGGTCAGCAGTAGATCAGTGAATGGCGACTCTCGGGCATTTACAGGGCTACTAATCCGCTGTGTTGTTCAGTTGGAACTCATCCAGTGCATTGACAACATTGTATTTTTCCCTGCTACTAGTAAAAAGGAGGATCAAGAAAATTTAGCAATGGCACAGGTAAGGTATAGTTTTCCTTTCTTTATATTTACTCTCTTAACTATAATTGTGACATACCACTAAGTTTCTCACTCACTACAGAAAAGTTTTTTTGGTGTCATACATTACAGTAAATTGGTTAGATGTATGTGATAAATAGTTTAAAACCGGCAAGTTGAAGATAGACATACTTATGCATGCAACATATGGGAATCTTTATTGAAGAAATGTTTTGCCACACAGTGGCTTCATCAGTCCAGTACAAATCAGAAGGGTGTAAGGAGAGGATGAGTTTGAGGTAATCAGTCCCTCTGCCTAATGAAGCCACTGTGTGATGAAACTTTTCTTTGATAAAGATTCCCATATGTTGCATAAGTGTCTCTATCTTCAACCTGTCAGTTTTAAACCATTTATCACATCTGTCAGACGCTACAACATCATGGGATCTTGATACAAAGAATTCTTCAACCTTGTCCAACCTTTGGACGAAGACCTACTTCGACTAGTGGATGGTACCACTATGACCCCGCCTCTTCCTGCTTCACCTCACCTCACTACAGTATATAAGTCACTTCTACGTTCCTATGCTGTACTTTCTACAAGATTGATGGACTGAACACATCGACTCCAGGCTGAAGGACTGATTACCTCAAACTACTCCTCTCCTTACACCCTTCTGATTTGTATTGGATTGATGAAGCCACTGTGTGGCGAAACATTTTCTCAATAAAGATTCCCATATGTTGCATAAGTGGTTATATGTAGTATATAATCATGAGACTTAAAGTTCTACAATATGTTGAGGTTTCTGAAGCCAATATTGAGTGAAAAAGATCCACGCATTCAGTGTTCTGTTAACAGCCCTAACACATACAAAGTTATTGGTAACTTAGAGTTGTGTTCCTGGACCAAGTTGCAAAAATATATCATTGATAACTTGGTTTTTAAAGAATTTATTTCAGATCCTTTGTTATCAAATTTGAATCTTACAATATTCATATGAATAAAAAAAAATGCAAATTATATTGTGATATAATCATTATTTTCTTTACTTAATGAGACATTGCACTGCAGCAGAGAATAATCCTTTGACTGTTTCGGTCGTATATATATGTCCTACGCGGTACCATGTTTGACGTATATATATTCATAAATTCTAGCGGCTTCAAATCAAGCAGGAGAAAGCTGGTAGACTCGCATGTGAGAGAATGGGTCTGTGTGGTCAGTGTGCACCATATAAAAGAAATCCTGAAGCACGCAGTGCTTATAGTATTTATGGTTGTATTCTCGTTTTCTTGGTCTCATTTGATAGAATGGAAAACATATTATAGAAATAGAGGTAATTTTGGTTGGTTTTACTATAAAAAGAACCTGGAAATGGAGCTCAAAGTAGGGGAAATGTTTGATTTTTGCTGATGTTCAAGAGTAAACAAATGATGTCATTGTCCAATAAATGTCCAACTAGCCATTCTAATATACAGTCATGAATGGGTTGACATTATTTGTACAATTATTACAATATTGCAGTAGTCTGCATAACAGTAAATCTTCTATTTTTTGTTTGAATAAAAATTCAAAATAGAAAGCAAGAGTAATATCAGAGGGGCATGGAGACGTGACTGATGAACAAAGAAAATGTTAATTTAGAGCCAGGAATGTCTGCATTGGTCATTCTGGGCCTTATTTTGAAATTGTCATATTTTTTAATTTTCGTGAAATTGGCCAAATTGAAAATCTCTGACCACGTTAGTGGGTAGTTGAAATCGGTAAATGCACAGTTTATTGTACTCAATCAATAGAAAAAATGGAGTTCTAAAGAAATAGCTGTGAGTTTGGTCAACTGGAACACTGGAATTAGCCAAAAATAGGGCTCAAAGTGGGCGAAATCGCTGATTTGTAAATATCGCCGAGGTCGCTAACTTCGCGAGAGCGTAATTCCGTCAGTTTTCCATCAAATTTCGTTTTTTGGTGTCATTACAATTGGGAAACGATTCTCTATCGTTGCATAAGAAAAAAAATATTTTTTTTTTAATTGCGACACCAGGAGACACCTCAGGATTGGGGGTTGCAACAGTCAAGGGGATGAGCATCACAATGGCCAAAGTCTGAGTTAGTAGAGAAATCGATTCCTTAATGTGTCATCTGTTTGTGGAAATATATAGATAGTGTCTTCAGTATCATTTATGTTAGGCTCAGAACCTCATAGCAAAGTATGGCAACTTAAGCTTCATTGCTTCAGTCTCCTCCATGCCTGTGTTTTTCTCTTATTATGTAATTTGGTGTTTATTCTTTTTTTGCTGTGTGATATCTCATGTATTTGTCAATCTCTCCATCATCTCTAACTACAGTTAGGTAACATATCTTTTTCATGCTCAGCAGATGGAGTCTTGCACCTCCAGCATTCCTGGTGTTGAATAACCCCATATGGATTGAGAGTAACACATGAATGATAAGATTCCTGTATCTACTTTAATATGAATGCTGATTATGCTACATATGGCAGCCACATTTTTGTCTTTTGTGTACTATACTATCAGCAGAGGGAATGGGAAAAATTCTAATTTATATCTGCATGCCTCTGGCAAGGCAGTGATAGTGTGAATAATGGTGAAAGTGTTTCTTTTTTGGATCACCCTCCCTCAGTGGGAGACAGCCAGGGTGTTAAAATAAATATACATAGTAGTAGCAACCACCCAGGGAGGTGCTACTGTCCTACCAAATGAGTGTGAGACAGAAACCTGTAATTTTTTTACATGATGGTAAGATTGGTGGTGTCTTATTTTTGTGTCTCATAAACATGTAAAATTTCAGGTACATCTTGCTACTTCTACTTACATTTAGGTCACACTACACATGCATGTACAGGCATATATATATATATACACCCTTTTGGGTTTTCTTTTATTTTTCTTACTAGTTCTTGTTTATTGCCACTTATCTCCATGAGGAAGTGGAACAGAATTGTTCCTCCGTAAGCCATGCTTATCGTAAGAGGCGGCTACAATGCCAGGAGCAAGGGGCTAGTAATCCCTTCTCCTTTATACATTACTAAATTTATAAAGAGAATCTTTTGTTTTTCTTTTTGGGCCACCCTGCCTTGGTGGGATATGGCCAGTGTGTTGAAAGAACAACTTCCAGTTTTGGTGAAATTTCTTAAAAGATTTAAAAAGTAGAGATTTGCAGTTTATACCTCTAATAAACAGTAATGAGAGTGTAGCCTTATTTTTCACTACCTTTGCTTTTAAAATATACCACTCCATACTGTACAAATTTTATATTATTTGGAACTTGAAAGTCATACACATTATTATTAATGACCAGTTATTTTATGTTTCCATTATTACTCAGGCTGGGGATGCAGCGATCCAAGTGACTCGTGAGCAGCGTGAGGACCAGGGCATGTATCGTCACTTAACTGCCAGCCAACTATTCATACTTTTAGATTGCCTTATGGCATCACATTCTTTTGCAAAAGCTTTCAACTCCAATCATGAACAAAGAAACCTTTTGTGGAAAGCAGGTAAGTGAATTGTCTTTAAATTGTAAAAAGTTCATACAGTGGAGAGTCTTGTTTGAGAGTAATGTATGGTGTGTTATTATACAGAGAATTGAAACAGAAGAAATTGGAAGATGGTAAAGGGTTAACGGGTATAAATCAGAGAGCAGAGGAGGGGTTTAGGCATTTAAAGAGGATGGAGAGGGACAGCATGTTAAATTGGTTGTATGGAACTGAGGTGGAAGTAAGGAGATGTAGCGTTTGTCCCAGAAGGCTCTGAATACTTGAGGCTTGAACATCCAGCAGGCTTGTGTGGACATGTTGGATGAGAATGAGTGGAGACAAGTAGTTTTAATGCTAGGTAGGATATTGGAGTGTTAGTTGAGTAACCTTTATTACCTGGACTTCAGTCCTGAGGATGGGAAGGGCAATGCCTGCACTCTGAAGGAGTGGGGATATGGCAGTAGGAGGGTCATTTAAATTGTAATGTCAGCACACCTCTGGCAAGGCAGAGAGTGAATGAGGGGTGAATGTGTTACCTTTTTTTTTGGGTCAGCCTACTTTGGTGGGAGATGGCTAGTTAGGTTATGAAAAAACAGATTGCACTAACAGACTTTTGTTTAGCTAGAGCCAGGATCCATGTCTCACCCCCCTCCTCCCTTCAAACATCATTAGGTATGTACAACTGGATAAGCACATCATGACTGATCAGTTCCCTGCAGGAAATACTGGTGCTCTACCTCACCTATATGTGGTTGCAGGGGTCAAGACTTAGCTCTTGGCTCTGCCTCTTGACTTGCCACATTCACTCTCTCCTAGCCTCGTGGACCCTGTTATATGGATTTTTAAAACTATGTATGGAGTCTGCCCCCACCACTTATTCATTGAGGTCATTTTACTTTTTGACCACCCTGAGACTGAAGGAATACTTCCTGACATCCCTGTAACTCATCTGTGCCTTTAGCTTCCAACTGTGCCCCTGAGTACCTGTTTCCTCTAAGAATTTTGTGTGTTATCACATGTCCCCTAATCCTTCAGTCCTCCAGGGTCATTAGATTCAATTACTTTTGCCTTTCCTCATAGCTCATACCCTTTAGCTCTGAAACTAGTCTCACTGCACACATCTGCACCTTCT